TGACCCCACATGATGAGGCCCAATGAAAATACTGATGAGACCTGCTGCAGATTTGGAACCCTGGAGTCTGGATAGTCAGGGCAGAGGAGGTGAGGATCTGAGATCATAGACAGAAAACCAATAGGCTACTGACAGAGGAAGGGAGAGGATGGGAGTCCAAGCTGATCCCAGAGCTCCTGCAGTCTGAAGGGAGGGGAAGCAGAGGGATGGCTGAAGGATGAGGCTATAGGGCGCAGCTCTCTGCTGGCCACAGGACTCCTGCTCCAAGGCCGCTTGACTGTGAGGTGTGGATGTGTACTTATGCTGCTGGATCCTGAGCCCAAGAAACTGTCACAGTATCAAGTCTTCTAGGGTGTAATGCAGATAGCCATATGTACTTGGAATGTGGGCCAATCTGAGTAGGATATTTTTGATTCATGGATGTGCACATAGCCCACACGGGAGAAGAGGACTCCTTGCACATGTCTTCGCCAAATAAAAATGGAATCATGGTAATGCAACACCGAGAATTTGCAGATCTCATGATCTTCCATCTAAACCCACTCATGGTTTTGGGCACTGACTTCCATTAAGGGGGTTCATGCAGAAGGGCCCCATCAACAGATCAGGGTGTTGGAGAACACAGTCTCTCTTGTCCTGTTTCCCTAAAACCTGTCCAAATGTGACCACCTTCTAGACATGGTTCCTCCTAAGGAGAGGTGATCCTCATCTCTGCAGGCTCCAGTCTCATCATTTTCAATCTCACGTGTCTATGACACAGCCCAGTCTCAGATCCATGCCTGTTACTCAGACATCTCACATGGGAAAGCTTTGGTTATGAGATCCCTTTTTAAACTAAGCCTGTGGATCAGTTCTCATTCACAGTTCTGCATCTACAAAGCTTTTTACTAATCTAGATTAAACAACCAGAAAGGGACACTCTGTGACTGAATATGGACTGATTACTGTCAAGATTGAGGAACTGGGCAGAAATCAGCTGGACGTAGAGTCTCTCTGCTGATGTTACAATTGATGATCTGCTCCACATTTAGGGAAATGGAGGACGCCCTTTGACCCTAATTTCACATTTGAGTCTGACTTCTACTTGGACAACGAGATGACTGTGAAGGTGCCCATGATGAAATTAAGGTTTCTAACCACACCCTACTTCCGGGATGAGGAGCTGTCCTGCACTGTGGTGGAGCTGAAGTACACAGGCAATGCCAGCGCCCTGTTCATCCTCCCTGATGAGGGCAGGATGCAGCAGGTGGAAGCCAGCCTGCGCCAGAGACCCTGAGGAAGTGGAGGGACTCCTTTATGCCCAGGTGTGTGTCCGCTGGAACCAGAGCTGGCCTGGTTCTATATCCTGCTATGGCCTGAGGCCCAGTGTCCCTGAACCTCATCATCTCACTAGCACCCAGTGTGAGGATTAGAGAGTCAGCAGAGACAGGTAGAGAGGAGGCAAATTTTTCTCTGCTGACTGGATAGTTTGGGGCCTGATTTTAATGTCATTCTTTTGTTGTTCACAAGATGACATCAGCTAGAGCAGGCACTGATTTTCCTCTGTGTCTACCAGGCTGTAATTACACGGAATCTTGCATGGGTATGGGAAGGCAGAGGGAGTGAGGTGAGAGGAGATCAGCCCTGAGAATCAGCTCTGCCCTGTGCAGCCATCGCATCCCCTCATCACTCATTCATTCACCATCACGGAATGATGATGGGAAGACCTCCTGTGTGCTCTGCTCTGATTTATACCCAGAGAGTATATCAGAGACTAAAGCACTAAGATTCTTAGCCTTGTATGCTCACCTTGTAATTGAGAATGAGAGAGTTGGGATGTGCAAATGCAACTAGTCATGATTCAATTTGTTAAAAGTTGAGAAGAAGTGACATTAAGAAGGGGATGTTCTAGAGTCAGGTGGGTGTTTATTTATAAATAGGTGGATCATTAAATGCCATCTGAGTCCACACGACAGGGGAAGGACTGCATTTTGTGGATCTGGGAGCACAGCATATTCAGTGAGGGAACAGCTGGTACCAAGTCCATTGCCTCTCCAGCACTCAAAGGTAATTAACACAACAGAAAAACAAAGTCATGTAATGTAGACAGGGATGGGAAGAGGGCTTCTCTCCAGTGAGAGGGCCGTCTGTGGAGAGCTGCCCCAGCTACAGTGTGGTTTGAGGGGAACACACAGTTCAGTGACTCTTATATTTCTCTTTTCATTCTCAGGAAAATCGATGAGCCCTCCCTGCCCAAGGTCTCCATCTCCACGGACTATAGCCTGGAGGGCATCCTTCCACAGCTGGGCATCAGGAAAATCTTCTCTATGCAGGCTGACCTGTCTGAAATCACAGAAGACAAGAACCTGAGAGTCTCTCAGGTGAGCCAAGACACACTGGGTGGTTCTCTTTGGTGCCTGAATGTGGATAGAGAGGGACAGGTGTGCGGGGGACGGCAAATGTGTGAGAAAGCTGGCATTTCTGAGATTCCCTCATCCTCGGAGAGATGATTACAACCTAGATATTCCTGCTGGATCCCATGCAGCCAGTCCCTCCTCTGTTCATTGGGAAAAAAAAAAACCTCACCCAGGAGCCCAGGGCAGGGAAGAACCTGTGCTTGGTCTTTGACCATCACTGGTCCCAGCGCATGCTGTAGTGCAGATGCCTCCGATAATCCACTGTAGTGCAGATCACTGCCAGCCTCAGCTTCTTTACTGCAGAGCTGGCTTGCTACTTCTTGACTAGCACAGAGAATATCTGCAGTAAAGGAAACAGCGAGGGTTGACTGGCAGTTGTTACAGAAAACTTAAAAATAGGGGAGAAGACGCCTTAAGACCTCACACTACATTCCCAGATGCACAGCCTGGCAATGTCTAGTGTTCTTCCCTTTGACTTCTCTTGAGTGCTGGGTGGAAATCTGTAGAGCAGGTCATGGTCGTCTGGGAAAGAGAAGCCACGCCATGTGTATTGCTATTGTATGTCCTAAGGAGACTGGAGCAGGAGGGGGGATGAAGTCTGCAGTGACTGCCAGTGCCCAGCTGTTTTCTGTGGGTCTCCTGAGAAGCTACCTATGTAATAAGAACCAACAGTGCCTACTCCCATCCTCCAGATATTGCTGGGTTTAGGACAACACAGATTCTCAGAGACTGAGCATTCCCAGGGTGGCCTCATCTCACACCCTGCGCAGAGACTTGGAAACTCAGGGGTAGAGCTCATGGCAGGAACAAACAAGCTCACCAGTGTCTGAGGCCAGCAGTCGATGCTTGCTCCAGGAATCTCCTCTGCTGCCCTCCCTGGTCTCCACTGGGTGATGTCTTTCTCCTAGAGGTGGTCCACAAGGCTGTGCTGGACGTGGCTGAGACAGGCACAGAAGCAGCAGCTGCCATGGGAATCGGGATTGTGGGAATGTCTCAAATTATGAATCCTTTGAATGTGAATTTCAACAGGACATTCCTGATAATTATTTCAGACACTAACACCCAGACTTCACTCTTTATGGCCAAAGTCACAAATCCCAAGGAAAACTGGAACTTCCCAAATGGTGAGGCTTCTTCCTGGTAGCCAGGGATTGAGCCTGTATGTGGGTCTCTATGTGCATTTTGGCCTCCATTCTCTGATTGGCTGTGTGTGCCTGAGTGGAGAGTGGCGGTGACTAACTGTGTGACTGCACCATGCACAGGTTCTGTGGACAGACAGTGTCAGGTTCCTGTCCTCTTGGCAGCACTAGCTCATGTTTCTGAGACTGAAATCTGATTTCCTGGCCCCTCCCTGATGCCTCTCCTGTATGTGCTTCCACCCAAAGCCTGGGCCCTGGCAGGTAGACTCAGTTCCTATGTAGGCTCTGGTTATGTCTGTCTTTATGTTCCCCTGCCTTGATAGGACTATGCACAGTCCAGTGCCATGTTGACCTCAGGCCCTGGACTGAGAACAGAACCTGCTGCCCTGAGTCTATTTCCAAAATCTGGGAACACTTGGTACCAAGTCCAACCTCACATTTTTCTTCTTCCACGCTCTGCCACCCACTGACCTGTCAGGGGCTCCTGGCCCTGCCCACATCTGGCACTGTGTTACAGCACCCATTCCTGCAGCTGCATGGGGTCAGTTGGGCAGCTCAGCTCCTTTCCCCCTAGTGTACCTACTTAGGACAGAGGAGCCATTTTCTAGGTTCCCCACTGACCAACCTCACACTGCAGATGGACACCAACTCCTTTTTTACCCAAAATGCAGCCCTTGGAGCAAATGATCAGTAAACATATATCTGCATGGAAAGTGATCAGGCAGTGTTCACTCAGCTCCTATTGGCAGGGGTGTGGCCTCCAGTGATAACAAGGTGGGAGAGATTGTCACTCACATTATGTGACTCATGTGATGAACCTCTGACCTACATGGTAATATCTGTCCCTTTTATGGATGAGGAAACTGAGGCACCAAGAAGTTTAGTCATTTTCCCATAACATCACAGCTCGGCATTATGACTGGCGGGATGTTCTCCCAAGAGCACTGATGCCAGAGGAACAGTCTGCTCCAAGCTGATATACATAGGCCAAGACATCACTGTGGAGGTGGGCAGGTGGAACATGAAACAAGGCTATGGATGCTTCCCAGAGAGCACCCAAATGAGTCTAAGGATCATGTGACCTCGGTACTGAGGTCAGAGGAGGATGAGAAGGTGGTCAGATGACCAGAAAAATGCTTTTGGCAGGGCACACAGCATGGGAGGTATTTCTCAGAATAATTGGCTGTTTAGGAAAGAAAAAAAATCACCAGATGACAAAGAGCTTGTCCCTCAGAGAATCCTCAAATGATTCAGAATAAAGGGAGCTCTCGAGGGGTGAATACCTGCTCCTGTCCTGGGATCCTCAAACCGTTATGGACAAATGTGGGGACCGACACTGAGGGCAGCTGCAGGGATCAGGAGTCCACATCTGGAGAGGAAATTGGGTGATTTCAGCTCAAGGATGAGATGGTTTCGTGCCTAGATGGAGTATAAGACGAGACCAAGGTTCATTTGAATTAGGGTGCTGAGTGTCCACTGAGCTTCCATCAGCCCTGTAAGACTGCTAGAGGCCTGCACAGAGAGAGAAAAATTTGTATGTTCAATTTGAGACATGCTTGAGTCTCAAGGCCCCAGAGACACACACTGAGCAGGAGGACATGTGATTGCAGACAATTACAGCCTGAGGGTCTCACACAAGACTCCCTTCCACATTGAGCACTGAGACATCACCCATGGGGGCCATCAAGCGAGAAAGAGGAGACCCATGGATTGGAAGCAGCTGTGTCCCAACAATTTCACTATGTCCAATCAAGTCCCTGAAGTCATGACCTCATGCACTCCATGAGCACTGCCATGCTTCAGCTGCTTTCCGTCATCCCTCCTAGTTCAGACCAGCAATCTAAGGCGCCTGGTGCTGAAGACATCTCATGCTGCTGGGAGCTGAGTCTGAACACTAAGTGTCATTATTAGTATTCACTATAGGAACGAATGCTACAAGACAAATCTCTACCTAAAGGGAATTTATTGGAAATATTTAAAAGCACAGGTCCAATTAGTCCAAATAGCTGTCTCCCAATGGAAGAGTCAGGAATCAAGTAGTTGTGTTTATTCTCAAGCTTAGAAGTCTCACCTGGTCTTCAGTATGTGCTGGAATCTTGAAGAAGTAGCTCTGATACCAATGATGGAGTGGACTTGCCAGTGAGAGCGAGAGAAAGCAGGCAAAGAAAGCAGGTATCCCTCCATGTCCTTTATATAGGCTGCCTGCAGAAAGTGTGTCCCAGATTAAAGGTGAATCTTCCAACCCCAAAAGATCCACATCAAAAGTGTCTCTTGCCACTCTAAATAATTTAATTAAGAAAAATTTCCTCAAAGTTGTACCCAGCTGCTTGGGTTTCAGTTAATTCCAAATGGAGTAAAGTTAACTTTAATCCATAAACCCATCACAAGTTCACCCCTTTGCAACTTAAAATGCTATCATATCTCCATAAATTATGTTTAATTTCTGCTATGGTAATACTATAAGCAGGTCTGAGCTATGTCTCAGAAAGTTTAACTGTTACACGGATAATTGCAGATGCATTATATATTTAACCAGGTCACAATTAAATGAATCATAACTCTCCTTCGTTCACACAGATCCATTACTAACATTATAATAGGAGACCATGTTTCTTGAGAAGCATTTTTTTAGTATCTAAAACTTTAATATTATGTCCACTGATATTCTTTTAATTGATGTTACACTATATGATGAATAAATTGAGGAACAAAAACACAAACATCTGTACAAACACATTCTCTATCAGAAAAGATCAGAAACCCTCGTGCCAATAAGAACCATCATTTCTGCATCCACAGTTGCTGGCATCTGTTACTGTCGTCCTACTGGGAACCCTGTGCACTAAGCGAACAAATCACCAGGTCTGCACTCTTTCCTGCAGACATGACCAAGGCCTTCTGCCCTTTGTCATTCTGCCTGATTGGTTTCTTGAAGTTTCCCATCGTTAATCTCAAGATGTGGTAACACAAAGAGATGTCCTAAAAGATCACATGATCTCCAGACATAATCTTTCTCCCCTCAGTTGTGGATATATAATCAAATTCTGTTTGTTAATCAGGAACAATTGCTCCACCCAACACAGAAACTGTTGGATAAAAGCCATCAGAAACCCAAACAGCCAGGGCAAGTCTGAGCTTTCAATTCAGTGGAATGTTTTGCTTCCTGGCAGGAGTAACCCAATCTCTAGAACTAGTTTCTAGGCCAACAGGAAGTATGATAAGGGATAATAATCAGATATCTTCATAGTATGTCATAGCATGAGAATGAGTGGAAACATGACCCTTTTCACCTCTTAACTTGGACTTGTGGATCCTGGCTACAGGAGAAACCATGCTATGTATTGGACAATGGTTCAAAGCATACACCACCTTCTGGAAACCCTGCCTAGCCCTCCAGAATGCTGCCAAGTAATTGGCAAAGTAACTGTGTTTTCAGAAAGCCATTACATCTTTCTATCAGGACAGCTGCTTCAGAATGGTAGGGAGCATGTTGATGCCAGTGAATTACTTGATCCGGGGCACCATGTTGCAATTTTCTGTGTGTAATGTGAGTTCTTAGGCTAGACACAATACTGTGTGAAATGACCATGGATGATACATTAGTTGAGTTAATGGATGATGGTTTGTGCAGAAGCAATGCATCAGTAAAAGCAAATTCAAAACCAGAATAATTATCTACTCCAATAAGGAAAAGGCTTGTCCTTTTCACAGAGAAAGAGACACAATATATCCACACTGCCTCTAGATTGTTGTCTAGATGTCCCGGAGAATACTGCCCTACCTGGAGCTCAGTGTTGGTCTCTGCTGCTGGCAAATCTGGCACTCAGTAGCAGACATTACAAGGATAGTCTTGCCGACTGGCAGTCCATGCTGTCAAACCTATGTGTAACTACATCTCTGACACTGGGATCACTTTGTTCATGGCCCCTGAGCTGGCATGTTACCTGGACAAACAAATTAGTGTTATATGCAAGAAGGAACCCTTTACTGCAAACATGCTTCCATAAGATCTGGCTGGAAGGCTTTTTCTTAATTAGCTATTGATGGGAGAGGGCTCAGACCATTGTGGACGATTCCATCTTTGGGATGGAGTTTCTATACCAAAGCAAACCGAGGATGGTAGAAGTAAGTTAGAAAGCAGCAACACTAAAAGGCCTCTGCATTAGCTCCTGGATTCAGGATCTTTTGCTATTTCAGTTCCTGTCTTAACTTCCTTCCATGATGGACAGCAATGTGGAAATAAAGCCAAATAAACCATTTTCTGCCGAAATTGCGTCTTGATCATTGTGTTTCATGCCAGCAACAGAAAACCTGAAGTAAGACAAGATGGTACCAGTGTAGTGGGTATTGCTGTGACAGACCTACTATGTTTTAGGAAGGATTGTGGAAAGATTTTGGAACTTTGTGCTAGAAAGTCAACTGAGTGTTGGGAGTTCAGTGGGATGTTCTGTGGGAGCTTGGAAGATAGGAATCTTGAAAGCAGTGCTGAGGATATAGGCCTGGCTTGTGATGCTCCAGAAGGAAGTTTAAAGACACTATCAGGATCCACACAGGGACTAGTCTAGGTTTTGATTAGTCTTGGGAGAAGCCATGACTTTTATAATACGTTGAGTATGGCATGAGGCAGAAAGAGAGAGAGAGAGAGGGACAAGAATGGAGGGGAACAAAGCATGAACATAAGGTATCTCAAAGGACTTGCCTGTGAAATGGCAGGATTTGTAAAGGTCAATATGAATTTGATATTAAATTTGTCATCTAATGGCCATTGAGAGCATCTGTCAGTTTTATAGTGCTGCCAAGCCATATTGCAATAAAAATAAGGTGGTGGGGCTTAACCAGATCTGTAAGTCTGCGGTGGGAAAGAGGTTTAAGGATGGAAGAAATATGACTATAGTTTGTGTCAAGTTGGTATGAAGGCAGCCAGCACAGTGGAGGAGATAAACAGCTGGAAAGGCCAACTCTAAAATTTCATATTGAATATTTTGGGGAAGAGCCAGCAGAAGGAAGTGATCTACACCGAGGGGGTGTCCAAATCAACACTTCAGTTCAGTTGAAGTGGATAGGTCCCCTTGGATGAGGCCCAGTTTATTCTCCTTGGCTTCTGCATCAAACGTAAGAGAGGAAAGGATAAATTCATCAAAGCAGACAACTCCATGAGAAAAAGAAAAATTTAGTGAAAACGAACCTGCCAAAGCTATGTTTCTCTTGAGATCGGGGGCAGAGAGAAGCAGAAGAGCAGAAAAGGAAAGAAATTTTATGTGGCAGCGGTTAGGGAAGTTTGAGCTGATTCAGCCTGACTGGATTGAAGGTGCGTTGGATGCATTTGCTGAGGTGGATGACATTTGTGGGAAGGTTAGGGTGGCTCCTGGTAAACAGAAATGCACCATGGGTGATCAGGTTCTCTGATACACAAAGCCCTGCCTTGAGGTTTCTGTTGACTCAACCAAAATTCTTCCTGCTAGGACCAGCACCTTCATTCTGCAGACAGCAGCTTTGGACCTAACTCCTCTCTTCTAAGTGTCTAGTCCCAATGATGATGAAAAAAAAAAAAAAAACACAGCTCTCATCCTAAAGGGACTGAGAGATACTTTCTTCTGGAGCCACTTAGAGTGAAAAATGTCCTGAGAACAGTGATTTTGGTTACCCAAATTCCATTCTTCAATATTGAAGTAATTTTACAAACACTTTATAGCTTAACCACACAAAGACAACTTTGAGATGCAGGGGTGGGAACCTCAGAGAGGCAGGTGCATCAAGGAGGGGCAGCTTCTCTATGAAGTGAAGTTGCTTTCTGCTGGCATCTTCGCTATTGGATTGAAGCTCTTTGTCTGTTAGTAATAGAAGTCTATTGTCACTGAGTTGACTTCTGACACAAAGGGAGGCAAACTTGTCTGTTCCGGAGAGGCAGCACTTACCCATGAGAAGGTAATTAGCCTCTGGTCCTGCAATGTTCCCATCTCTCTCCAGTACTGGAATTGAGATCAGTCTTCCAGGCTCTGCAGACACAGAATCCTGTCAGGGGTTTCCCTTCAGTGCCAGACAAGGCAGCTTCCCTTCAGAAGTCTGAGGCCAAAGAGGGCAGAGTGAGTGTCTATTTAGATTATGCCCATTGCTACCAGACAGGACGGTTACACAGATGGAGGTGGAGTCTTGTTAGCATTGAGACCTCTGTTTATTGATGTATGAGTTTTTATTAAGAAATCACAGAGCATGGAAATAGATTTCTATTCTTTTTGAAGTTACTTAAGAAGTCTGCAATAAAAGTTAGTTGCAGCCCTATCTGGTGAAAAGTAGGGCTTGTGCCCTGCCTTGTTAACTCTGACTTTTCCCCAGTTCCACACAGACTATGAAACAATTAGAGAAATAGAAAGCTGAAAGCAACACACTTGGCTTGTGGTCAGGAAGTGTTTCTGCTAGGGAGAGCTTCTCAATGCGCAATACCAGAAATCATCCCATCAGTCCATTCCAGACTGAGCACAGAGTGGAACTTGTCTGGGTCAGCACTTCCTAAGAAGAGGGAGGAGACTCTGGTGGGCATAAATAGACATCAGTCTGCAGTGGGAAGAACAACACAGCAGGCAGGCAGCACCCAGATCATCAGGACCAAGCTGTCGCAAACTCAGGTAGCTTCCTTCAGCTCTGCAGGTAATTCCCATAATTCTTTCTCTCTGAGAACAGAGGAGGAGCCTTTGCAGGACTGTGTGGTACTGGGGATGTCCTGGATCTTGGGTTGGTGGAGTAAGGAGTTGATCCTTTGTTACTGGACTAGAATCAGGGAACATTTCTGGGGTGCATAAAAATCTTTTCTTCAGTCTGGGTCTCCCTCTCAATGGAAGATGGAAGAGGAACCATTCTGCTTCTGGAGAGTGAATGGAGCCTGCTCCTTCCCACCCTCCACAGGGAGGAAGTTTTGAGACCTTGACTACCCCAGGTGCTGCTGTGGGAAGCAGAGGCAGACAGAAAATTCACATCGGCCCCATGAGGGAGGTGTGAGTGTGATGAAGGCATAAATCACAAACAATCCCACACCAGTTTAGAATTTTGATTAATAGGATGGTATTTATTTAAAGGGGAAAAAACTTACAGATCACCGTCCCAGACAACAGCCAGCCCTCTGTGCAGTCAGGAAGAAGTCTAGTCGCTGGAAAGGGAGCCTGAAGCAAAAGAGAGCAAGGAGGGAAGTGGCCGCTTTTTTAAAGAGA